CACTTCTTGCCCGTATTTGACAAATAATTTAGAGGCATTTCAATTATTCTATACCTATGCTAGACGAAGCATTTGATGGTTGGCGACAGCCAGATCCACGTGTTGGACTCCTGCCATGAGCATTTCCGCATTCATTTACTTGAATACTCCGAAACACTGCTAAAAACGATCGAACTAGATCTTCTATTGATGTTGAGCAGTATACTGTAAACGCTGTTGTTTTCGCGGGATTCATTTTTTTCGCTGAGCGGCCCAAAACATATTCGCGGGTTCTTAAATTGGCGTTGAACACTTCACTCCATCGTGTTCATTCCTATCGGTGCACGCAAAGTGCATGATTTGATTTGATTTGATATTTCAATGCTTATATTTTTGCGAGTTCACGCTTGCAGATCTTAGCGCGAAATCCGCGAAAATTAATGTACCGCAAATATTTTTATTTTACAGTAACTATATTTATGAGAAAGATAGATTTTAGTGCTCTGTCTCTATGTTAAAGGTGTCAACAATCTGGGGGAAAGAAGGCACACAATTTTAGAGAGATTTGACCTGCATGAGTCAGCATTTCAGTATAGTGTATTAAACTGCAGATACTGTTTTGATAGATTGGAATTGAGGGCTTAGGATACTTTGGGCACATTGTAAAAATGATAATATATAGTCTCACAATATTGTGACGTATAATTTTGAAGATGAGCAATTTTCTCATTTCAAGATATAGTGCACAAGTTTTGTTCTATGTTACTTAGTAACTTGGTATTAAATTTTTTTTTTTTTTTTTTTTAAATCACAATTATATTATAGAGGTTGATACCCGTAGACATGCATGCACACATATACAATTTATATACAACCAGGTATGAAAAGAACTACTATCAATTATTTTGTTAAACCTTGATTAGGAAATGAAACAATTGTGGCTCACGAGGGAGTGTGGTCCAAATGTACATGTACATGGAGTTTGAGGTCATTGTGTAATTTGGATGCATTTTCAAAAGGACTGTTTTGGTTTAAAATATGAGTTTTATGTATTCCGAAGTATTCAAAATTGACAAACATACAGCTGAGTTTTGACGAAATGAATATCTTACATCGAGCTCAAGCAATAATAATAATATTCAGTTCTTTTATAGCGCATAACATATTACAGGATAGCATGTCCCTATGCGCTTTAAATAGAAAGGAAAGAATTACAAGAAAAAGTCATACAAATCCTGTCATTTCCTGTCAACCTTTCCTGTCAACCCTTATGGAATAATAATTACATTAAAATATGCATTAGCTCAATATATAGTATAAAATTGTGTAAAAAGGGAGTTCGTTTTGTCAACGATATTGTAGAGACAAATGGTGATTTTTTTCTCTCTGGAACATGTCCAAGAAAAGTATAATATTCAAATAGTTTTTCTTTTCTATCGTGGATTATGGGATGCAATTAGACAAGGGTTTAACAATTGTTTTGTGCTATTTTTTTTAACAAGGTGCCACAACCTCTTTTCCCAGATACAATATGGCATTTGTAATGAAACGTATTAAAGGTTGTTCACATATCTATGCAATTTTATTAAAGAGAAGAAAAGGACTATGTAAAAGTTTTCTTAAGTGGAAATGCATTTTTTGACCTGAATGATAAGAGTTGAGAAACATATTGTCTCATCTGGAGCATGCCTGCAGTTCTTTGACCCAAAGAAAGAGACAACCGTTGAGGTATATGCGTCGATGAAAGGGCTGGGAGCATGCCTGTTCCAAGATGGCAAACCTGTAGCTTTTGCATCCAAAAGTCTCTCCAATGCGCAGTCCAACTACTCGAACATAGAGAGGGAAACCTTAGCCCTGGTGTTTGGTATCACCCGATTCCATACATATCTATTCGGGAAGGAATTCACTGTGATAACAGATCACAGGCCGTTGGACACGATTTGGAAGAAACCTCTAAGAAGCGCACCATCTCGTCTACAGAGACTATTGATCAAGGTACAAGAATACAGATGCCAAGTCAAGTACCGACCTGGGAAAGAAATGATTCTTTCAGATACCTTGAGCCGTCTTCCTAACCCCAAGGAAGCACGCGATGTTCCACTAGACATCAGAGTGGAATCCATCTGCTCCGAAGTAGAAGACACTCATAAAATCGACTTGATCTTCTTCGGACAACACAAGAGAACAGAACTCCAGATGGAAACATCCAATGACCCTGTTCTTAGGTCATTGTGGCAGACAGTCACTCAGGGTTGGCCTGAAACTCTTCCAGGACCTGCCGACTTCCCTAAGGGAATTCTGGTCTTACAGAGATGAGATTGGAGAGTCACAAGGAGTACTCTTCAAAGGAAGACGAGTGATCATACCAAAGGCACTTCGGGAAGACATCCTTAGACAACTTCATCTTGGACACATGGGAATTGAGAGCACGAGACGACTAGCTCGTGAGACAGTGTTCTGGACACACATCAACAAGGACATTGAACAGCTCGTAAAGCAATGTACTGCATGCTAGGAACACCAGTCAAGGCAACAGAAAGAGCCGTTGCTTTCCCATGATGTACCTTCAGCACCTTGGACTAGACTAGGGACAGATTTGTTCATGTTCAACAGACAAGGCTATTTACTCGTCACTGACTATTACTCCAAATATCCAATAGTCTACAAGCTGACTGACACATCAAGTGCTGCAGTAGCTAACGTGAAGAGTGGAATCTTCAGTCTATTTGGTCCACCAGAGGAGATCGTATCGGACAACGGTCCACAATTTGTCGGGAAGCACTTCAAGGACATGTGCCGGAAGTGGTCAATAACACATACAACCTCTTCCCCTCACTATCCAAGATCCAACGGACTAGCTGAGAGAATGGTTCGTACCGTCAAGAATCTGTTGAAAAAGTGTTCACAGACTGGCCAAGACAGTCAACTGGCTATGTCACACCTAAGAGCAACACCTGTTGACATGCAGTCACACCTGTTGACAGTCACATGAGATCACCTGCAGAGATGTTGTTTGGAATACCCATCAGAACAACACTGCCAAGTCATTATCTTTCAAGAGAATCTACCACCACTGATCATCTCTTGAATCAACAGAGTAAGATGACAGAAACGCACGATCGACATGCGGGTCCAGATCTTCCACCACTCCACCACAGGACAACCAGTCAGAGTCCTACATCCCAAAGATCATACTTGGATACCAGCCAAGGTATCCAAAGTCTGCGACGAGCCTAGGTCGTATGAAGTATCAACACCCAACGGAGGAATCCTGAGACGAAACCGATCTCACCTGAGGGAGATTCCATCGTCAACCAACCCAACTCCAAAGCGTGTTAGGTTCGACGAAGACTACACTTCATCTACTCAAGCAGAAACACCACAACAGAATGGCAACAACCATCAACCAACACCAGAAACTCAGAACATTCAATCTAAAGGACCAACAACAAACTCGCAAACCACAACGATATATGGACGCAACATCCGTACACCAGCGAGATACATGTTTAAAGATTGAAACTGAACTCTTAAATTTCTTCAAAGAAGAGAGAATACAAAGAAGAACACGGAAGACTTTTAGTTTAATGTACTTTAAGAAGTTTATTGTTCATATGCATGTATAATCATTGTACAGTATTTTTGGTATGACAAGCATAATGTTTTTAAGTCTAAACAGATGCTAGCCCAAACATGTTTTGTTTGAACATTTATTTTATAAAGAAATCAAGTTATATCAAAACTATGTTCAATCTTGCAGATCAACTGTGAAGTTGAAAATGGAAAATGAAAATGGAAAATTATCTATACAATTATACTCATTCGTTAATACAATACAAAAGAAACGTATTGAAAACAAATCAAGATTTTATGTTATATAACCTGATTGGAAAAAGTTCATTAGGAAGCAAATAACCAAAACTTGCATACTACCAAAAGTATTGTTATCAAAGCAATATGTTATTAGTCATCGATCAGTGATGTTCACTGATTCCCAATCTTTCCAGAGGAAGGGGGATGTTACGATATGCGATATCCAAATATCCGGTATCCGTCGTAGTTCAATAAAACATGTCTCCATCATCACAAACCTGACTGCCGACTCGTCTATTATCATGAGTATCTACCAATTCTAAGACCCTCGAACTCATCACTGCTGAGCGGTTGTCGAGTTCGCCTGTTGTAGGCATATTTTCTGACGGCTGGTTTCTCTTATTCAAAACCTCAAAATTTGCTAACATATATATTCACCTCAGCTTGAAACTTGCGCTATTAATTCAGCATGGATCCCCCAGAAAAAAAAAAATTGTTTCGAATTTTGCCTACGAAGACTTAGAAAACACAAGCCAATATAACAAAACAACATACAACCACGAAACGAACAAGGAGAAGAAAAACAGATAAGAAGGAAAAGGGAAAAGAATCTATCTACAGTATGCATGATAAAGATATGTCCTCCTTTTTATTACCTTCATTTGTTGGTTTTGTAAAGGTTAGAAACCTTTCTACGAAATACTGTCTTCCCTAACAGCACAGGAGATTAGATTGATATATACATGTCTAAGAGCAGCATTGAATTATTATTAAATGCACGATATTAGTACTTGGTGTTTAAATGCCGAAAAATTCAATCAAGTAAAAATGCTATAGTATGATTTTGTTTACCAAATGGGGCTGTGATCTGAATCAAACAGAAATTCTGTTTATTCACACACTATAGGATGGCATTGAAATGAGTTGATAGATGAATTTTTTTTCCTGTACTATATCTGACACACATTTGTTTTGTAACTTCCTTAAATCTTCTTTTGTATTTTCTTGTTTTGTGATCACATAATGTATATTTGTCATTGTACACTTCTTTGTACATCTTTGTATGATTCTGCTGTGACATGATCTTTGATTTTGTTTAACCAATTCAATTCAACTCAATTCTTCATATATAGCATATTTGCTACTCAATTCTCTATTTACAGTACATGTATATCATTGTTTTAATTTTATTTCATTTTTTCATGCAGGAATCAGAGACAGCCATGATGAATATTTGGATGGTAACAGCTGTCCTACTTCTGTCTTCAACCTATCTTGTGACAGGACAATTTCAAGGGGTAGGTCTAGATCATAGACTATTTTACATATAATGCCGATGAAAGGAAGTCTGATGGGACATTTTTAAAATTGTAAAGCGTTAGAGATCAAAGAAATGTTATATGCGTATATTTCTATTTTTTAATGATAACAAAATGGGGACAAAATATCTCTTTAACTAAGAAGTTTTCTAATCTTTGTAAGACCAACAAATGGATTTGAATATTATGCGAATAAAAGAACTCATCCTAAATTTGAAAAGGAACGTCTGAATGATAGACTAGATTTTATTTTAAAGGAAAGATTACAAGAAGCTTTAAAAAAAAAAAAATTATTGTTCCCCCAATGTTGGAGATTACAGAGGTGCTTCATACTTTGTTTACATGGATAATACCAGACAATTACATTTTTAAGTCAGCATGCATGAATCTGGAGGGGATGGAGAAACTCTAACTTCTCTTACATGGGTAGGTCTAAATGAGAGACTATTTTGCTTGTTTAGGTGAAAAGATGTTTTCAAGAAGGAATTTTCAAATATTGCATATATATTTGCATATTTTTATATAGATGATAATAATGAAAAGAATCTTTGAATCCACGTGATTTGAATCTCCTGCTGGTTTTGAAGAGATAGATCTTACATTTGGAATGATAGACTATTATATTGAGAGGAGATTTACAGGGAGACATTTTAAAATAAATTGTCTGTTCTCATATCAGAAGCTTTTGAATGAAAACAATTATAAAATATCTTTGAGCCCAAGAATGTAAAAGTGGGGAGAGTAAATGAAATTGTTGGCAATATGGGGAGGCAGTGTCAAGTCAAATTTGTGGTATTGATGCAGTTCTGTTAGTCAGTATATAGCCTAAACTTAAACAGGAATATTTTTTTTAATTAGGTTATCATTTGAGGATGCAAAGCCAAGTCAGGCACACCTTTATCGAATGCTTTATTTCAATAGACTGCAATAAAGCCTACAGGAACATGTAGAAGAAATTTTAGAATTTCATTAACACTTTGACCCCCTCTCGGGGTATGAGAGTACAAACAAACATAAAAGTATAAATAGCAATGCGTGACTTGTGAACACAGTTATTATACCTTAAACATAGATAATGACACAAAGATACAAACGATAAAAGTACCGTAAATCTCTTTTTTAATTTTTTTTTGTGTGCAGACTCAGTAGGCAGCAAGCCAGGTTCGTGTTAAAAAAAGCACGCGGGGAAGGACTTTCAACTGCGAGGTGCAGTTGAAGGCGCCGATTTGTGCTTGTGAACTTGTCACAAATAATAGTAACAATGTCGTTTTAAAACCAAAGATGACAGACAAATTTCCTCTAAGTCCAAACAGAAATCCGGCCATACAGGTAGTGTTCTATTTTCTGAGTGGTGAGTCAACACACCTTGTATGACTGAGCTGGGAGACATTGCCAGGCACAGTGCAGGTGGAGGGGCATAAATCGACACTTTTATTTTTTTATTTTGTTTGTTTGTGAACCTGTGTTAAAGACGGACCCCGACTTTCGAATTTTTTTTTTTCGGTGGGAAAAAAGTGCCTCTTATACATGGAGATTTACCTTTGATACAAATTTAAGTAAATTTCTTTGTCATTATGTGTAGGACCCCTACAGTAATGACGGGTGCGGTGAAACCAGGGGGTGTTTTGACTGTCGAGATAATCTTGCAACGTGTGAAGTAAACGTCGCATGGGAGCCCAACCCACAGGAGGGTGTGGTCAAATTCACGCTGTGGGGAACCAAGGTGGCAGCCCAAGCCCATGTATCAGTAGGAATAACACCCACTGGAAATATGGTAAGATTGACGTCAAGAGGAGGTGTCCTAGTGGAGTGGTTTAAGCACTTGACTTAAAATGCAAAGGTCATGGGATTGATCCTCGACATGGCACGTATGTCTTTTGGCAATGCATTAATCTACATTTACCACTCCATACCCAGGATAGAAATAGGGACCGGGAAGGATGATGAAAGCCTTTGTGTTAATCATTGCCATATGCCCTCACAGTGACCATATGGTTTAGAGATGGTATTTCGTATTAAAGAGAAGGTTGAGTTCTGGGAAGAAGTGAAAAATAATTTGTGAGCGTTATCATTCTTATTATGCAAGTGTGGAAGAACATCAGATAAGACATGTTCCCTGAAAAGCATGGCTCTTCAAATGCCTTCATATTCTAAATATGTCACGTAACATCGTAAAAATCCAGGGTAGGATTTTTACGCCACGTGTTCGTGTAGTCCCATATACATCTTTCTGTGTACAGTGTTTGTAACTTTACCAAGACTTGGCTAAATTTCTTATCATTTGGATGACTCCAGAACCTTGCAATAACCTTTTCTGGTCGATTCAAAACCGTTAATTTTACAATGCAATCGCTTGACCAGAACTCAACTTCATCTTTAAGCGCTATATGAATCCAGATTATTATCATTATGATACCGGTCTTAGTGGAGAAAATATTATGCAAATTGACATGGTGATTTTCTGGTTGACAGAGAGCAAGGTGCACTTTACATCAAAGTTTCATAGTTTCACCTGTTTACATTCTCTTCCCCCTCTTCCTTCTTATTCCCCCTTTTTCTATTAATTTTCTTCCACTTCTATTTTTCTTTGTGAGGCACATTTTTACAACTTCATGAATCTGTTCTTTCATTTTTCTGCTTTAATTTTTTTTCTCATTTCAGACTGGACTGTACCAGTTATTTGATATTCTTTATTTTTTTTCTCTTATTGATTTTCGGAAAGCTTAACTGTGGCAGAAAGTGAACAACAATGAAACTAAAACAACGAAATTGAAATAATGCACCATTCAGAATTCAGTTTTATGAACTATATGATAAGTAGCTTTGTATTCTTTTTGTGTGATTAACATCTATAGGCCAGTGCTGATGTGTATTCATGCATCAGTGATGACACTGGATTGGTTATGGGGAGATCTTGGAATCCCGATGCTGGCAGGACTACCTCAGCAAGACCACTAGTAAGTACCTGTGTACCCTCACAAACAGGAGAAAAATTTAAATAAAAATCTTCTAGCATAAAGGAACACAAAAACGTACATATGCAATAATTCTACATTAAACAGGCCCGCACACACATGAGATACTACATGTCATATACATGTACCATATGTAAATGCAGAATAAAGAAACTTTGAATTCTAGGTCTTACCATCAGACCAACTCCAAACAGACTCAAACTGACCAACTCTTGATCGTTCGGGGTAATGACACTTCTTTGCTCCGTCTTAGATAGTATCAAAATCGTTGCCGTGACTGGGATATTACGAGAGAAAAGCGAAATTGTTAGGAAACCTGTACTATATGGCATTAATAAGATGAGGCACCAAGAGTTTTTATCAACTTCTCATTCGAAACAAAAGCCCAACTGTAAATTTTCTATACAATGTTTTGTCATATGATATACCTGTACACAAGATGATTACAGAGATAATAAAAATAGGATATAGGCCAACACAATATTTAAGGCCTGAAATCCACTTGAAGTCGAATTTTCAATACTTTTTCTTTGAAATATGTGAATGTATGAGTTGATAGTAGAAATTACTAATCATACTCCCTAAATCAATTCAAAACAGATTTTTCATTGAAGACAGTCGGAGTGGGGGGGGGGGGGGGGGGGGGGTTAGTGGACCACTTCTTACTTTAATTCAATAATAATAATAATATTTAGCTTTTACATAGCGCTTAACTAAGCGCTTTACAAATATACTATTACTCCGGTCATTGGATTCAGTGCTTGCTCGCACACATTGTGTGCACAATCTCCACTCCCTGGGGAGCATTCCAGCCAGGCGTTACTTGACGCACAAAAACTTTTTCGACCAATAATGACGGTCGCATCCTACCGGGCACCCATTTAACACCTGGGTGGAGAGTAGCAAGTGCAGGTTAATATCTTGCCAAATGATCTTAGTGCTCTTTTGGGATTCGAACCCTCGACCTTCGCATCTCCAGTCAAGTGCCTTAAACCACTCGACCAGGACACTCCCAAGTTGTTGAATTATTTTCTCACAAAGTAACTAAGCATTTCGCTATTATCTACAGAAAGGAGTGTCTGGTGAAGAGGTCAGCGTGGTGGAAGACATGATCCGTTGTCAGTTCAACCGTATGATGTCATTGGATGATGGAGATGATGAGTTCTTTGATATCAATAATATCAGCTACTTCCTCATTCTATCAGCGGGTACCGCAGCCGGAGGTAATCTATATTTGTGAAATGGTTCTTTTTACCCATTGGGGGGGGGGGGGGGGGGGGAGAGAATTCTGCCAGCGTCCTCAGGGTGCTCTAACATTTGCTCCAGGGACAATTGCACTCGGGTTTATTTTGTCAAAGATGTAGGGTTAGGGTTGTAATGAGAGGTTTGTGTATCAAATTTTATTATGTTTAATTAAGGAATTGGTGAGTGTAGGATATTGACCACAGAGCAATTGTCGCCGGAGCATGTGTAAGTATAATCCTTCATCAGACATGTACTTGTGTTGTGTATCCTGGATCTTTTCCAATACAGTTTACTTTCCCTATAATTTCAACACTAGACCCAACATTGTGCTACATATAACTCTAACCATAAACTCACCCAAAGCCCAATAGCAACCTCAGCTCTCAACCACTTTTGCAATCTGAAAAAATAAGCCTGTGTGAATCCTATGTTAAACAAGAGATAATACCAATTAACATCTCCCCTGAAAAGATTAAAACTGGTAATTGCCTTCATGTGCAATTATATAGAAAATTAGGAGTTTTAGCAACGCATTTCGAAAATAATGCATAGAAAATAGTCTGATTTTCAGACCCTTGTACTGTATTTGGGCAATTACAGGAAGCGGGTTATTGATGTGTACAAATGCTCATGTACCCTCTACAGCCCATATATTATGTTTGTTATTACCGAAGAAAAAAGAAGTCAGTCGACTCACTCAATAGTGTCTGACAGTGAAGTCTAGAAAGTAAACAGGTTTCCTTGCATAATACACTAGGACACGGCTAACATTTAAATTTCACAGATAGGACATACGTGACATATTCATGATTCCTGCAAAGTTCTACTTTGATTGTCATCACAGCATCTTTCTGGCTCCGCAGAGTCCACTCTGTAAACCTATCCTTCATAGCATCAGCTCCTACTCCGTATAATTCTCTACCCTTAAAGTAGTCACCCGAAAAATATAAAGTGTTTAAATCCATGCAAAGTTCATGTCATTGCGAAGGGGAAGCATTAATGATCAAATATAACAACTTCCCTCTTCAAAATAATATGTTTAATCATAACAGTAATCATCTCTCAAAAATGTTAGTTTTGAGATCCAGATTTTCTGCCTCCAGCGGTTTTCTGTCACATGCGAGACACAGCTAGCCACAAAATTGCACTTTTATGCCTTTCCATGATATTTACAAAATGTATATGATTTATCAGCAAAATTCTTCGTGTTTTTTAAGTTAAAATGTTTCCATCCATAAATAATTTGTCCATGATTATCAGTTGTTGTGAATTTTTTTTGGATGACTACATGTACTTTAACAACAGTTAGGAACACATTGCTTAATACTTAAAGAAAACCCCGAAGACCGCGAAGACCTCGCTTTTCATGTATTTTTCTTTCGTGTTTATGATAATCTATTTTGTTATGTAAAGCACAGAGAGAAATAATTTGTACTTGTTATGCGCTATGAAAATTTCGCATTATTATTATATTTTGCATTTTAGTTTTAGCATCTCCATTTTTAAACATATTTATCTGTAATCATCCTCATTGTAACTGTCATGTAATTTCCTGTACTGCCACATTGAATTGCCCTTTAGGTAGCCACAAAGTTTTAAAGAATTCACTTTTGTCATGCAGGGGCAGGTCAAGGACACACTGGCGGGTCAAACAGAGGGTTTTCTGCATCGGTCGACCTCACTCAGACCTTTTCAGTAGGAGCAGGAGAATCGAGTGCCTACCTGATGAAATTACATGGTAGGTTTATTTGGGATAAGCTTGAGTGTCTTCAGAACTATAGACCTATCTCAAATTTGTCGTATCTGTCCAAACTCACAGAACGAGTGGCTTTCTCACGTCTTCGCACATATCTTATTGAAAATAATTTAATTGATAATTTTCAATCTGCCTACCGCCCACACCATAGTGTGGAAACTCTGCTAACTAATCTTGTGGACTGTGTCCTCTCCGAAATGGATAAAGGTAACATTACTTTTCTTGTGCTACTTGATATGTCAAGTGCTTTCGACACTATTGACCACACAATACTTGTTAAGAGACTACAGTCTCTTGGGGTAACAGGCACTGCGTTGCAGTGGTTTTCATCATACATTCATAAAAGAACCCAGTATGTCTCTGTAAATAACTCCCAATCTGACAAAACTTATCTTTCATACGGTGTGCCACAAGGGTCTGTTGGTGGCCCGTTAATGTTTTCTGTTTACCTTGAGCCAATCAGTACAATAATTAGAAAGCATAATATAAAATATCATTGTTACGCTGATGACATTCAGCTTTTCATTTCTGTACATCCTTCCTCAGATGCAATTGCCGATGCTAAGAGAACTTTAGAAGCCTGTATTCATGACATGAAAGGCTGGATGGATTCCAACGGTCTTAAAATAAATGAAAATAAAACTGAGCTTATCATTTTGGGCTCTAAGAACTCTTTACTGAGAGCAAATCATACTCATTTAAGCTTGCATCTAGGTGACAAAGTTCTAAAGCCAGCCTCAAAGGTCCGTAACCTCGGTGTGATATTTGACAATAATATGTCATTTATTGAACATGTATCTAGCATATCAAAGTCTGTAAGATATCAACTGCGGAACCTTGGGTTCATACGAAAATCTCTGACTCAAAAAGCATTCGAACAATTAATCCATGCATTAATCTCATCCCGCTTAGATTTTTGTAATTCTATTCTATTTGGACTCACAAAACAGCAGCAAGACAGACTGCAATCCCTCCAAAATTCCAGTGCAAGACTCCTTACTTTCACACCAAGAATGTCTTCTATTACACCTATATTACGCTCTCTTCACTGGCTACCTGTCCAGAAAAGGGTCCACTTCAAAATTATGTTACTTGTTTATCGGGCTCTCCATGGAATCTCGCCACAATACATTAAAGACTCACTACACTCCTACAATCCAACTCGTACCTTAAGATCTGGAAGTGATAATTTGCTGCAAATTCCCCGTACCCGTCATTCATGGGGAGACCATGCTTTTTCGCATGCAGCAGCCAAATTATGGAATAAGCTTCCCTCATCACTTCGCTGTATTGCAACATACTCTGCCTTTAAAACTCGTCTTAAGACTTACCTATTCCATCTGTAACCCAGTATTTCCTTAAGTTGTATAAGTTTATTTTACTAAATCCATAATTGATATGTTATTTGTATATACATTTGAAATTAATTAGTTATCACCCTTTAGTCTCATTGGCTGCCTGTGTGGGGCCTGTTGGCCTCAGATGCTAGAGCTTCTGTGAATAATGTGCTGACTGGGCTAGTCCCTTAAATTGTCAGTGAACGGAGCAGCTGGAGGGCACCGGGCCCCATCAGGCAGAGCTGAGGATTCAAATGGGTTATAACAAAATATCGCAAAAAAAAAAAAAAAAAAAAAAAAATATTGCAAAATTATTTACTTTACTTGTATCAAAGAGAACTGTTGCTGAGCTAGCGCCATGAGCGTCCCTGGACGGTGTGTGCGCTCTATAAGTTTACACTATTATTATTTATCATAGCTATACTTGTTAGAATCCCTAATATATGTTTTGTGTGTATAAGCAGGGATTGGTCCAAGGTAGATCGTAGTTGAAGGAAAGGAAACTAATTATTAAAATGTTTCAAATTCTTTCAAGTTAGAAGTCCCAAATTGGTATCAAAGTATAGCTGGAGGGTCCCTGAATCAAGTAGTCTAGCAAATTTACAATACTCAATAGTGCAGCAGTGAATTTATAACAAAGTCTGACACTTTCCTGGGCCAGAGGGTAGGGTACATGCATCTGTGGAAAACTTCTCAAGAAAATTGGTTGTTAGTTCGGGATGGTATGCATCACCATACAGGCAAAAGCACACCGAATTTCCAGGATGTAGCCAACATTAAGCTATTAAAACATCAAAATAAAAAATGTATTACTTCTCTCTACCCTTGCTCATTTTCCAATATTTCAATATTGATGTTGTTTAGCGTTGTCATGATCTATTTGATAGATCAGTAAACTGTGGATCTTATGGTTTGTGGTTTGAATCCCAACATCAGCACTTATGGCAAGATATTAATCTGCATTTGCCACTCTCCACCCACTTCCTACCATAATCTAGTAGGAAGTTATTCCTTGAATGTTTTCAGCTGGGCTATATAAAGCCAGGGTCCCTTGGGGTGGATATGAGTGCAATATGAATACACAGGTACTGGATGTACTTGTAATTGTTATTCTCCTTCTCCTTCTCCTCCGTCTTCCCTTCGTCTTCTACTTCTTCTAATCCTCTTTCTTCTATTTCTTTTTCTTCTTTTCTTTCTTTTTCTTTTTCTTCTTCTTCTCTTTCTTTTTCTTCTTCTTCTCTTTCTTTTTCTTATTCTCTTTCTTTTTCTTCTTCTTCTTTTTCTTCTTCTTCTTCTTTTTTTTTCTCTTTTTCTTTTACAATTCAACATGTGGAAATAACCATTCTATTTTTAATTTTGCAGTACGACTTTCTATATGCACAAAGAAACATGAATCAATAACTCCGGTCTTAAGAGATCTACATTGGTTACCCATCAAGTCTTGTATCCAGTTTAAAGTACTTCTATTAACCTAACATGTTTACATCAACTAGCTCCTTTTTATCTTACCGAATTGCTAACTTTATATAAACCAGATAGAATGCTAGGTTCCAGTTCCAGGTCTCTGCTTTGTGCTCCACAAACCATGACAAAGTCATACAGGGAAAGGTCTTTTTCATATGCAGCCGCTTTTTGTGGAACAAGTTGCCTGAACAACTGAAAAGTATAGGATCCTATAAAACCTTTATCAATTCTCTGAAGACATATCTCTTCACCACTTAATAAATAATCAGAATCATGAACACAGTGCATTGTTTTAAAGTGCAATGAGACATGCAGTTTTGCCTATGTGTTATGCGCTATATAAAAATGTTTAAATATTATTATTATTCTTCAAGCAATCTGAATTTCAATATTTATTTCCAATTTTCTCCTAGGCTGCCTGATGATCATAGCTTGGATATGTCTAGCTAGTGTAGGTCTCACCATGGCACGATTCTTCAAACCAATGTGGCCTGACTCCAAACTCTGTGATGTTAAAATTTGGTTTGCTGTAAGTCAAACTCCAAAGAGAAGTAATCTGTGAGCTTTCTCATTCTATTTAACGTCAATTTATAAGAATATAATTGCAGGAATCTCCTTCCGAAAAGGGTTGTTCTTCCAATGCCCTCATATTCAGAATGTTAAGGGAAATAGAGGGAAAGTTAGGACCCCGGCCCCCCCCCCCCACTCCGTGGTCGGAATGACCGCATGCGTGTTACCAAAATGTCCGGTAAAGGGGTACTTTTCGTGCGACAAAGTCCGGCCCGAGAATTGTAAAAAAGGGGTGTATTTGACTTTTCACCCGGAGATTTCTTTAAAAAGGGGGTGTTTTTCTTTTTTTCTCTCATCTCTTTGGACTCCTGAAAAATTATTCCGCATTAGGGGGGTACATTGAGCATTTTTCTGTATTTAGGGGGGTCTCCAAGAGAGGAAAAGCCCGCGAAAAGCCCGCGAAAGGGGGTTCGGAAATGTTGGCAGTCCTCAGATAGGGGGTGCTTTCAAAAAGAGGGAACGAGCATACGCGTACCCTAAATAACATTGAGTGGGGAGGGGGGGGGGGGGGGCGGGGTTAGGACCAAACATTCTTGACACCTATGTGTGTGTATATAGTCCCATATACCTGTTTATGTGTGCAGTGCATCTGATTTCAGATCGATTGTGTCAATTTCTATTCATTTGTATCTTTCCAAAACCTCAAAGTGTATCGATTCCTAAGTACTATATACAGTGTAATCAACCTTTCCCAATTGCTTACGGACAGTTTCTTTCACATTGTAATCACATGACCAGAACTCAAATTTATCTCGTTCATATATGATGGGGGTTAACTATGTAAATTCAAACACATCAGCAAAATAAACTGTTTTACTTTAATGAATGATTGGCAAGTGGGGATGTGTAGAAATGTAGCAGTGCCCAACAATGGACATCAATATTATCTGTGTTTTATTATTATTATTATCTTATGAAGAGTTACGACTGTAAGTCCTCCAATTAGGCGCAAGTTTGCTGCCGCTTTTGCCACTATTTGCTTCCACCATTTACTGGCATATTTCTCTCAAGGGACGTATAAATCATGGTCGCAAATCTACAGTATTTACATTGTTGATAATTCATTATTGAAGGGGAAAATATTATTTAACGTTCATAATGGTGAGAGTGGCATGCCAGTGGCATGAATAGCATGCCATAGTTAAGTCCAACTTAAAGTCGATCTTAAGTCTTTGTGAAACACCCCCAGATCCATTAAAAAATAAGGTATCCAAATATTTGTTGGGGCTATATAAAGTGGATTAGGTGAAAGGTTTCCCAGCCGTTGCCAGGGCAACAAAGGGTCAAAGAACATTTCATCCACTAGGAGAGGGGGGGGGGGCAATTCTAATTGGCATTAGAATGGCAATTATAATAATAATAATAATAATAACCTAGACTTATATAGCGCATTTCATCTTCGAAGAAAATAGCAATGCGCTTTACAATATTAATACAACAAAATTACACATTATTCAATAGATAGGTGAGTAAAAGCGAGATGAAGTAGATAAATATACATCAAATATAAATATAATTTGATTTGTACATTACAATTGTTTTTTCCGTTACAGGTACATCGAGCATGTATGGTTTTAGCATTGTTACTGTTTGTAATCGGTTTCATCGTAATATTTGTCCATGTGGGAGGATTCTTGGAACTTGGCGATGGTAGAGAGGTGAGTTTCCCTTCATGATTTTGTATAACAGAGTATAACAGAGACTAGAGGAGACTGGGGGGGGGGGGGCCTCGAAAATTTGAAAAATTGCCCCCCTCCCTTGAGCGCCAGGGGAGGGGGCCCATCTATATAAAAAAAAAGGTAAAATTAACTTATTAACGTATTAAATAAAATGATACCATTTTCATAGCCAAGGATGACTGAACAAGAGGCTTTTAAAACAGTGTTCTCAAAAGCCTCTTGTATCAAATTTTGGCTGAAGCGAAGAATGTGGGTCAAAAGACATTATGTGTGCTTTCTCATTCCAAAGACTATTGCTCATTTGTTTTCATCGACTTTTAGGCAGTTGCAAAAAGGTGTTAATATTAACTCAAATACAAAGAAATTCTTATTACAAGTAAATTAATGTGAATAAAGAATAGGATCTACTATTTGAAGTTAACTACGTTCTTAATTTGAAGGGAAGATAGTTTTTTTTTTCCAGTCTCGATAAATTATGCCCCTTCACAAAGTCCTTTGCCGCCGGGCGACCTCACACAGGGGATAATATCGACTCACCACTCGAAATCTAGCCTGTCCAAATTTCTGTTTGGACTCGGAGGAACATTTCTCTGTCATCTTTAGTTTTTAAAACAACATTGTTACTATTACTTGTGACAAGTTCACAAGCACTTCAACTGCGCCTCGTAATAAATAAAAGTCCTTCCCTGCAGGGCTTGCTTTGGTTTCGGAACGGTCTACCTTACCGAAACCTGAAATAAGACGCGATCTCAGATCGCTCCTTATTTCAGCTATCGGTATGGTAGACCGTTCGGATCAGGCTGATCTGGCGTGCTGCATTTTTTTTTGGTGGTCTTGATGCTAAAAATAGGGTGCGTCTCATACACAGATATTTACAGTAATTTAACTTTAAGATTTGAGACCAAAGAAGCACATGCTTATGGTCTAACCCACGTTATTTCCTCTTCGGTTGTGGTAGACCCATACAATATTTGTCGTGGCCATATCTTGCAACATGACCGAAAATCTATTTCGAGTGGTCACAAGGGCTAGGACACGTTAAAGATGGTTGGTGATCGGGACACGTCAGAAAAAAAGACATTCGTTGGTGTGTCGCAAGTCAGTCGTGTGACAGTCGTGGGACCATTGTGAGTTATGGGGTATTGTCGTAGGGGGGGGGGGGGGGCTTTTTTCGTGCATCCGTCTCCCGATTATCTAATGAGACCTGGGGGGTGTTTCACAAAGATCCTAAGTTGAACTTATCTCTAAGTTGGACTTAAAATTTATGGGAAGCCATTAGCATCCTTGAAAACATTTTGTAATTTTTTTTTTAGAAGGTATAAAATGTTGATTCAAATCATTCATATTTTCTATTATCATGGGAGATTTCATGTTCTTGATGTGGAATTGATGAAAAGTCTAAAATACTCCAATTTTTGCTTTTGAATATATTTCATTTTAAGGCTCCAATGGCTGTCCATACTTTTTAAGTCCAACTTAGTGTTAAGTTCTACTTAGGATCTTTGTGAAACACTCCCCAGGTCTGTTGCCTGTCATTTGCTCTCAAGATTTTTCAGTTGAAACAGTTTTGCCCAAATGTAATCCCAGTTTGTATCCAGGATGCCTCCCAGGAAGAAAACCGACGAGAGAAAGGTGGTAACAGTGGCAAAAACAAAAATACGTTGCAAGACAAACGCAAGACTAATGCAAGACAATTGTTGTGCAAGCCTCTTACGAAATATAATAGTTGTGAGACACCCAGAGATTGTTTGACTAAAAATAAATTCTTCTGGTATCTATGACAAGATATTTATCGCACGACAGTCACAAGACTGTCGTAGGAAAGACTCATGACAGCCACAAGACACAGATACCACAAAAAAAGGTGCAAGTCCAATTTTGCCTCAAGACGTCAAGTCGATGCCACGATGCTCAAAATTTTATAGGGCTGTCTTGCGACGACCCCCTATGACCACCCGATTTGCCCAAATTCTCTGTTGTGTCGTGGCACAAATGACCAGGCCTTTAAGCCTAAAGTTGGTACAAGGCGATTTTAAAAACACTTTTTAAAGACCCTGGTGATCACTCACCTGTGGCAGAAATACTATGAATAATTGAATAGGGTATCAGTGTATAGAAAATAAGTTACACTTCATCATGAAATCAATTTAAAAGTCATATTGATTTTTGACTTTTAAGTTGGGTACACTGTTTGGTAAACGCACTGTATATGAATAGTGATCAATGGTAGGAATACTCCCGAAAGAGTGGAGATGGGGCACTCTTGTATGCAGGCTTGAAATCTAGTGAGCATGGGTAATAATGATAACATTGTGAAGCACATATAATTATTCATGTAATACTTTATTATTATTATTATTATTATTATCTTCAACTTAATGATTGATAATTTGATTTCTTGTAGAATCGGGTGACGTGTCAATGATGTTGTTTACAAATTGAAAAAAGGAGTCTATCTGTGTCAAATGAACAAATGAAATATTTGCAGCTAGTTAATTACGGCTGTTTTTTACTCAAAAAATCTGTTACAAATTGAAAAAAGTCTTGTAGTTTAATTTTATCCCCCCCCCCCCAAAAAAAAAAAGTACTAATCTCGAATATTGGCAAAAACTCTTATGATCAAGAAATTATCTGATTTCAGGAAAAAAATTATGTATAAAATAGTAGAGAAGTTGATGGTGAAAAATTAGTTACAAAAAACAGAATGGAGTTAAAAAGGTGAAGGGATAAGTGTAGCAAGAAGAGAATTTGGAAAATGAAAGAGGGGAAGAAGAAATGAAAAAGAAGTGAAAGATGTAAAAATATTTATAAGATTTTGATGTGACTGTGTCTTATTTTATACTCTACACAGAGCCATCGACGCTTCACCCATGCTGTACTAGGAGTGATTGTAACAGCTCTTGGTGTCATCAATCCTATCATGGCTATCTTTAGACCCCACCCTGGTTCCCCCGAGTAAGTACCTTTCTCTTTCGTTAGATCCCACCCTGGTACCCCCAAGTAAGTGCCTGTCTCTCTCCTTAGACCCCATCCTGGGACCCCCTCCCCTATTAAAAATGTGCCTCTCTCTTTAAATCCCACCTTGGTACCCCAAAATAAATGCCTCTTCTCTCTTAAGTCCCCACCCTTGTACCCTTAAGAAAGTTCCTTTCTCTTTAGAACCCACCAAACTACCCCTTTGAAAGTAGCTTCCTCTTTACACCCCACCATGATACCACCAAGTAATTACCCCTTCTTTCTTAGGACCCTACCCTGGTACCCTTAATAAAGTTCCTTTCTCTTTAGAACCCACCAAAGTACCCCTTAGAAAGTGGCTCTATCTTTAGACCCCACCATGGTACCATCAAATAAGTGCCTCTTCTTTCTTAAGACCCCACCCTGGAACCCTTAAGAAAGTTCCCTTCTCTGTAGAACCCACCAAAGTACCCCTTAGAAAATGGCTCTCTCTTTAGACCCCACCTTGGTACCACCAAATAAGTGCCTCTTCTTTATTAAGACCCCACCCTGGAACCCTTAAGGAAGTTCCCTTCTCTGTAGAACCCACCAAAGTACCCCTTAGAAAGTGGCTCTCTCTTTAGACCCCACTTTGGTACCACCAAATAAGTGCCTCTTCTTTCTTAGGACCCCACCCTGGTACCCTTAATAAAGTTCCTTTCTCTTTAGAACCCACCAAAGTACCCCTTAGAAAGTGGCTCTCTCTTTAGACCCCACCTTGGTACCACCAAATAAGTGCCTCTTCTTTATTAAGACCCCACCCTGGAACCCTTAAGGAAGTTCCCTTCTCTGTAGAACCCACCAAAGTACCCTTAGAAAGTGGCTCTCTTTTGTTTAGACCCCACCTTGGTACCACCAAATAAGTGCCTCTTCTTTATTAAGACCCCACCCTGGAACCCTGAAGGAAGTTCCCTTCTCTGTAAAATCTACCAAAGTACCCCTTAGAAAGTGGCTCTCTTTTGTTTAGACCCCACCTTGGTACCACCAAATAAGTGCCCTTTCTCTCTAAAGAGCCACCCTGGTACCCTCAAGAAAATTCCTTTCTCTGTAGAACCCACCAAAGTACCCCTTAGAAAGTCGCTCTCACTTTAGACCCCACAATGGTATTCCCACGAAAGTGCTTCTTTCTCTTAGACCCCACTTGGCATCCCCATGAAAGTATCTCTCTCCCTTTAGATTCTATCGGGAGCGCCAAGAGGGTCAAATCTGACTGACATGTGCGCTATACAAGAACCCACTATTATTATTAGTATTACCCTGGTACTTCCAAGTATGTTCCTCTCTCTTGAGACCTTTCCCTGCTACTTTCAAGAAGCAGATTGTACCACCTATGCCTCACTGACAATAACTCTTCAGTCAATCTTTTTATTAGGTGAAGTCATAAATTTAACACTGGACTCAACATTATACTTAACCCTAACCTATAACACAATTGATTACAAGTCCCAGCCCTTGCTATATCTTTGACAAATAAGCTTGAAGGAAATGTCACTGGGGCTAATATTAGATATTTCCAAAAAGTGTAAAGTTTATTACGTTAAATGATCAGTACTCGTGTTTCCCCCACAAAAGTTTTACACCTGCTTGCTATATATATGTTTTAATATGCATCAAATCCAAATTTGATTAACATCATTCCAATGTTATGATACGTATTCTTATGAAAGTTCGAGTATATTTGTCCCTATTTTGGCCTGTTTACTGTATTCATTGTGAAATGATATTGAAAAATACCGGTAGTTAGTTTATCAATTTCTGGTGTTGATACAGGTTTTATGATTTAATTTGTTTTTAATATTAAATGTTGTTTATGTTTTGTATATTAAGACGATCCATCTTCAACTGGGCTCACTGGGCTGTGGGAACCAGCGCATTGATCTTATCATGTAAGTATGGTGCTAGAAGACTAGAAGACTAGAAGACTGTTCGAGGCTTAATTGTTCCATTATTTTTAGCGCAACTGCTTACCATAATAATAATAATAATAATAATAATAGCCTAATAGTCCACTTCCAAATTTTATTAAATCGAAACGGAAATTCTTTTTGCCCACTTGATCGTGAGCCCGGCAGCCACTGAGCAGCGCCAGATCGACGTTGCTCTATCCCTTATTGTTGAACGCCAAACAAGGTAGCAACAACTCCCATCTTTTAACGTCTTTTGGTATGACGCGGCCGGGGTTCAAACCCACGACCTCCCGGTTGTGAGGCGGACGCTCTACTGACTGAGCCAACACTCTGGTACCATGAAACGATGAACAGTTGATAGACATTGTATCTGTAAGAAGTGCAAATAAATTTCAATAATGTCATGAGCAATAAAATGTTACATTTCCTTGTGTGATGAAAGCAGGGATATTAACTCACATATCCCTGATGAAAGTTGCTTTTATATGAAAATATTGGGTTGGCAGGTACGTAATCCTAGTAGATTGGTAGCCTTCCTGCAAAACATGCAATGTCTTTGTCTCCATCCCGTTCTCAGTCATGACAATATACCATCCCCGCTGCCTATCCCCTTCCAAGCCCAGGAAATTTTAATTTTTGACAATATTGTTTGACAAGTACCAGTTGGTCCCCTGGAATAACACACAATCTTTTCATTTGTCTCTGTCTATTTGTCAGTTATAACAATAGGTCCAGCTCTGGTGTATTGACAGGTATTTAAACTAATAGCCCCTGCAGTAACTTGCAATGTCTGTTATTCAACTCAGTTGTGACAATATTGGATTGGTAGGTATGTTAACCAAATAGCCCCTGCAATAACCTGCAATGTCTTCCTTTGTCTTTATCCCTTTCCAAGTCGTGACGATAGGTCTAGCCCTGGTGCCTATCGCAGGAATAAACATACTGCCTAACCTTCAGGGCTATACTTTCTGGGTTCTCATCGGGTTCTGTGTGTTCATGTTTGCCATGTGGGTTATCTTTGAAGTAGTCCGATGTTCGACAGACAGTGAAGGTAAGAACAGATGTGGTTGTAGTGGTGTGTGTGTGTGTGTGTGTGCGTGGGTGTGTGCGTGTGCGTGCGCGTGTGTGTGCGTGTGGGGGTGTGTGTGTGTGTGTGTAATAGGGGCGGAGTCGGGGGTATAATTGATCTTTATTTTATTCATCATAATAATATCATAAAAATCATATGAAATACTGGCCATATTGGCTTTTTGTCAATATATTGCACTGATCAACAAATTTTTGCAGGGCCATTTTGAATTTAAAAGGGGGTGCACAGATATGCCATTGGGGCGGTGGGGGCATATGTTAGTTGTGCCCGCTCTGATGGGTAGAGGTTAGGGTTAAAAGGCCACCCTCCCTCTTTGATAAATATCTCTCAGCGTATTTGCAATTGCTACATTTTTTCAAATCTTTTAAATCTTGATGTAAACAAGAATCATCAGTTTTACAGAAATCGGTTGTGCTAGTACAAGGTCACATGACATGATTTCATGTCAGCTCATAAATGAAAGAATTATACTGTTCTCTATTCTCTTAATTTTTTATCTAGATAAAATCCTGAAACTTTAGAAATGCAAATGATACTAGTAACTAAACAGATCCTGTTAAAAAGCAATTGAATCCATTAATATAAAAACAACAACAACATTACAACAAAATTAAGGTGGGTTTGTGTGTGTGGTGCAATCAGGGTCAGGATAGGGCAAGTGGTTAAAGACTGGAAAATGAAAAATTGCAGTGTTGTTCCATCCTAAAGTTTAATAAGTACAAGTATTCTTAATTCTACTAGTGGTCTTTTTTTATCTTCTCTCTTTGTATATATTTCTAAAAGGTCGCACTAATGATATCCCTCTGAGTGACAAAAATGATACTGTGCAAGCAGCTGATGATACAGGCCCATCGGTAAGTCCACATATCTTTTGTATGCATATCAGGACAATCACCCCCAGAAAATTGCCAATAACACGCTGGTAATTGCCCAGGGGGATGATGGTCCAATGGGTAATTGTCCTAGAACCATTTGAGTGTATCGTGTTTGTGAATGTCATGATTATGTCAGACCTATTATAGTACCAGTATATTTTTACTGTAGGCCATTTCCATAATGTTATAAAAGTCAGTGCATACATCATTCTATGTCTAGTGCCTTGATACAAATTATTTTGATTTGCATACATTAGTTGTTGCTAGGTAGGACTAGGTCTAGGTAGGACAAACATGGCTTGCCTCATCTAATCTAATATATGCAAGTTATATTCTGCATGTTGAGAAACAATTATGTGTAATACATGAATGTGAATGAAATAATTTGTATCTAGGCATTTTACAAAGATATATGCATTAAATATGGTTTATACGAAAGTAGTCTATTTTTCCAGCGACAGTAGTAACAGTAATGTTCAATTTATATAGTACACGAAAATTAGAAATTTATTTTCAAATCATTTTAGACGAATATCTGTGGGTCGACACATTTCATAATGATAAATAATAATGCTAGAGGGTGCTAGAGGGTGCTAGCAGTATAACAAATTGCTTAGCTCAGGAAAGCTTATAAAAGCTATGGAAAAAGTTTGAAAAGAGCTGTGGAAAAAAAATCAAAAGGAAAACGTATAAAAACTATCATCAATGTGAATATTAATATCAACCATTGTTTTTGGACCGAAAATAACAAACATTGTGTAAGGGCTTTTGACCTCCATTCGTTGTTCCAGCCGAACTTAGTAGAGGAAGATTTTGACAGTATTTTTTAAAGTGCTGTTGCTCATTCATCAATTGGAGCAGAGTTATTTATGAGGTATCATTAGACAGAATATTAGTTGCTTTTTAAGAATGAAACATAATTCAAGGTTACACAGGTTATACAGGTCATATGGGAAGCTACCAAAATTGGGTATACTTTTTTGTGTGGTTTCACTGTAATATAGTCCCATTTGCTTAAAATTGCATGAAAAATAGTGAAAGCAATTTATACATAACGATTTGCTAACAAACAAATACAAGGTAATTGATAATGACTTTACACCTACTGTACATGTATGAATTGCTATGATATTATGAATGTTATTATTTTGCTTAAAATTTTACCAACAATATTTTTTTTTGGTCATGATTTACAGGGTTCAATGCTGAAGACCATTCTCCTGTTCATCTTCTCGCTCGGCGCTGTGTTTTCCACTGCTTTCCTCATCATCACCATCGCCATTGCCTGAAGGTCTGAGAGGCTATCACCACAACCAGCCTCAAAAACTATCCACAGTTCTCTTTTTTATATATACTACACTGTAGTTTACAGTTCTGTGGGAGTAATTACTAATTACAGTTATTTACAGCCAATTAACATGCAAGACATTTTAAATACAGTATATACTCGTTTTTAAGTAGCACATCACCAGCTACTAAGCAGATTCCCAATGATATTGTATTCACTATTGTACGCATAACTATATTTAAAAAAAAACCTAGATATGCTTATATATAATAATAGTAATAATAATAATAATAATAATATTCTTTTAAAGTCCACTCCAAATTGTATGAAGTTAAACCAAAAATGTAAATTCTTTTTGCCCAATTGATCGTGAGCCCGGCAGCCACTGAGCAGCGCCAGATCGACGTTGCTCTATCCCTTATTGTTGAACGCCAAACAAGGTAACAGCAACTCCCGTTTTTTAACGTCTTTTGGTATGACGATCGGGGTTCGAACCCACGACCTACCGGTTGTGAGGCGGACGCTCTACTGACTGAGCCAACACACCGGTTAGGGAACTAATCACCTGAAAAATATAATTTGTTTATGGCTAGTATATGTATCAAATCAACCTCAAAATCTTCACCCAACATTCAATTAGCCAACAGATAAGGAGTATGATGAATTTAAAGAATAGCATAACACCCAAATCGGACTTAGGTTCCGTGCAGGCCCTATTCTGTGCAAACACATACAGATAGTCTACTTATCACTTTTATGTTGATTGAGAGTGTATTTAAACACATATTATCTCTTTATAAAAGTAATATTTGAAGCTTACACTTTTATTATACAACCACATGGAACCCCTAACAGACATATTTGTTTGCAATTGATACGCTTTAAATACATGTAGATGTAGGAGACTGCTTATGCATGTCGAGTTAGCAACAATATGCCGTCCTCTGGTCGATTTACCCCCCCCCCCTCCTGTAGTTATTTAGCGACTACTCCGGAACCGCGGCAGATATAAAGTTTTCCTTTCGTGACATTTTCTTTCGAGTCTTACGCATCTTTAAGGAAAAAAATGAAAATCGGACGTAGAGTTACAAAGACACTTGACATTTTGTCTTTGCATGTCTTGTGATTTGTGTACAAAACATATGGAAATATATTTTTTTCATAAAAAGAGATAAAACATTGGTTATTTGGACTTGTTTAAAGTTTAGGAGTTTGTTTTGGGGTCAAAATAGTTGAATTGTAGTTAAAAATGAAATAAACAACAAAAACAATAAAATACATAAGAAATTATCAAAACAAGAAATAACATAAGGAATAACCTGTCTCTTCCAATTTTTGTTGTCATATTATTATTATTCCAAATGATCTAACGAATATATGTAGTGAAAAAGAATGCTTAAATAGGAATAATATATGATTTATGGGCAAACATGTGAATGTTATGACCTTATTTGCATAAATTACCATAAATATGCAAACGAGTGAATTTTTCAAAAAAGAATGTTCTATACACTTCACTTGAAATGCCTGCAAATTTTCGCGACGATCGGCTGAGAAACGGCCGAGATCTTAGAGGGGGGGGGGGGGATGGTCAAAGTGCCCACCCCCCCCCCCCCCATTAAAAACCTGGTCTGAAATAGCCCAGTTAAAATAGAGTTAAGTCATATCATCATCCTTAAAATTTGTGTACATGAGTGTATTCTTGGGTACGTATGTATCTCAAGCTATTAAAGTCTAAACCTCAAATTGTATACTGTTGCATCACAACAGTACACAACATCTACTATAAAAAAAAAAATACATGTACATACATACAAGAATGAATATCATGTTGTTCCTATCAAAAGGTGTTGTTTTTTAAAAACAAGTTACAATGATTCTTGCAAAACTACTGAGTGCAACAACTTTAGAATTTGCCTGTTTTTTTAGTATAGTGAATTAAGCTTAAGGTCAGAATGTACATCATTGATTGATTGATTGATTTTTATTCGACAAGCTTCCAACATACAACAATATACAATAATAACAGATCAAAAAAAGTCAGCTTGAACAGGATAACCCACGAAAGCTCGAGAGCTTATTTCCAGTGGGGTCCCTTACAGACATGTATAAAATTAATAAGTTAAGATAGTAATATTTACAGACAGATAAGAAAATTAAAAGAACTACTTATTAAAGATAATAATAATAACAACAACATTAAACTGATGATAGAAATGATATTAAGTACAAGAAGAAAAAGAAGAAGGAGAAGAAGAAAAAGAGGAGAAGGAAGAAGAGGAAAATAATGATGAATTTGTAGAATTTCTATAACGTACGAAAACATAAGTATATACAACATGAAAAAGTATGAACCGACAGAAGAATAAAAATTTCAATCATATAACATAAATACTGGTTAAATGATAACAATATATACAGTATCTTGTACATTTATATATATATATATATATATATATATATAAGGCCTGAAATATGTTGATTTACATCTTATTTTCGATATTCTACATTTACAATCACACTTTATATGCAAGTCTAAAGATAGACATACATTTACATTACCGTATAATAAAGCTGTAGAAAAGTGTCTTGTGTGTCATATGGCTGAACATCGGCTTAAATTTATAGAAAGTTATTGAAGAAATAGAAACAAGTTTTAACTAATGTTTATGTATTGTAAGTAATTGATCTGGGTGGTTTTATATTATACAAATAACGCACGTCCAAGAGTGCAATAGCGGTGAATGCAGTACACGCGAGGTTTCTTTAAATTGGTGCCGCTCTGTGAACGAGCCGCTTGCGGCGAGTTTACAGCGCGCACCATCTGAAGAAACCGAGCGTACACTGCATTTACGTTTCGCACAACAAGGTCAAGTGCGTTATTTTGTTTTATAAAATAGCGACACAAATAGCAACAAACAAAACTTTAGATCTTAAGTTAGAGTCTACGAGAGTTCGATCTAGATATAGAGTTATGTTGGTTCTAGACTAAGACCTTGCAGGCTTATCAAAAAGTCAATGGGATTCATTGCCTTGATTAAAAATAAAATCATAGGCCTACAGTGGGTCTAGAGACAAGTACATCAGACAACTGAAAATCCTGGCTTCATTATAAAATCCAAAAGTCAAAACAGGCCTAGATTCTAAATCCAAGGCAAAAGTTAAAAAAAAAATTTGCTTTTTAATAATACCCCGCTCTTACTAGCTAGCTAGAGCTAAGCTACGCGTACGTTGCGCTGGGGATCATGGTGGAGCGTACAATATTAGCTACGCGTAGCCTACAATAATTGCAATGCACTCGAGGGAGCGCGTACTACATGTACGCGCGCGCAATGGATCTCCATGGTCACGTGTATTATAACTTTTTTTGCGCTTTTTTCTGCAAAATCGTGCATGCATCAAAAATTTGTACATGTCATGTGACGCGTATTGACCAATCACGATGCTTAAAATAATAGAGCCATTTTATAAACAGTTTTAATTGATTCTTGAGTCTGACTTGACATTGTCACTTTTTCTTTGATAATGTACAAAATCAATCAATGTGCATATTAATGTCAGCAATTGTTTTTGGACTGAAATATCAATCATTGTGTAAGGGCTTTTGCATTGTTCCAGCCAAACTTAGTAGAAGAGGATTTTGACAATAGTTTAAACATGTTGATTCCGACAATGTATTTGGAAAATGTGGTCATTTCAAAATGTGACATAATCAACTTGCTATTGTAATGTGCCTTCTATATTACCGATATATACGTGTGCCTTTTTTCAAATTGTTTCACTTTCATAAAAAAATGTCAGTCATCTTTCTTGAATGTGTATACTTCATTTTCTTTCTAAGGCATATTTTGATAATGTAAAAGGTCTACAATATTTATGTTCCATGTACATGTATTGATTACTACGTAAAACATCTTTCAAACAGAAAAGCACCATCAGGGGATAATTTAGGATATAATGCTCCAACTCCACATGATTAATGTGCACAAGGGGCAAAAGAAAAGTAAGAACATGAAAACACCCAGAAATGAAAGGTATTAAAAAAGAGGATCTACTGGAAAGCAGATTTAGTGAGTTAAGAGGGCATTTAACCTGAATTATTGCAAATATATTGTGGCAATCTACAGTGCAATTCTGTCTTTCATTTTCATTTACATATATGAAGTAGGAGTCAGTCCTATAAATGTCTGTGAACTTTGAAGTATTCATAGTTATTTTTGCTGCAGAAGAACCAGAACAATAAGATCTTTGTGTTATCAAATCAGGATGCGCAACACAACTCGAAATTGTGAACCTCCTAAATTACATAATTTGCAAGAGATAGAATTGAAGCACATAAAGTGCCTCTTGTGAGTAATATTGGCCATTTGATTTCTCAAAAAAACATATGAAGGTGTACAGCCTTTACAAAACAATGACAGTATATTACAATATCATGTCTACTTGCATGTACGTACAGTAAATAAGGTATGTTGTCTTGTTCATGACAATGATTTTTATGTGAGCTTTGAATGTTGATACTCTATAATATATTTGACACCTTCAAACTGGGAATATTTGACATATTTCTGAATATGGAAGGATGAGATAAGAAATGATCAGCTTAGTCAGCAAGTCAGAAAATACATCCAACATAAACTGAAAACCTACATCTCATAGGAAGTTTTGACAAATATTCATCAATTATGCAAAGATACTAGAAAAGCCGTTTATAATTTTCATCTCTTTGCATCTCCTTACTATCATAAGTTTAGCAGTTGGCAAAAAATGTATTTTGCAGAAATTTCTTAATACGTAACCATGTAGTCCTAACGTTCTTTCTTAGTTATTGAATCATGTGATTAATTTGCATTGTTGATATTCAAATTCCTATATTAAGTGCTTTCACTTTTGTGTTCGTTTGATGCATATTTAGTTGAATGTAGATCATATGTTAGGAGCTAGAAGGGTGTTGAGTTTAATGTGTCAAATTATATGACTTTGAAATGCCTTCTGGCTGTAGACAATATTCAATATGTTAGAATATCATGCATGGTGTAGGCCTACATGGGTAGTGTATTTTAAGTCTTTGGGCCAATGTAAACTCCAAAAGGGAAAATGTACAAGTATAATAGTGCTAAATGAATGGATATATATTCTTTAATTAATTGAAATAATGATATATTTTCAATTTATATGATGTAATTTTATAGTTATAGTTTTATTAATTTTTATCAGAAGTATGTTGAATATTGCAGAAAACTATGACAAGAGTACTGCTAGGATAATCAAAT